CATAAGACAGACACCGTTCTTTGCGAATGATTGATTTCATCCTTCTTTTCTGCCAGATTTGCCTCGACAATCTTCAGTGCCAGCTGTGCAGGGTCGTCTGGAATTTTGGAGGTTCAATAATCAGTTCCTGCAAGAAGCTATTTCAAAATCTCAAGCAAGCAATAAGATGTTTTTTGATAAGAAGAAGAGGGTAATCTGGATCTAGAACCTGGAGATACGGTATGGCTATCCACTGCTATCTTAAAATTGGCCTGCCCCTCAAAGAAATTGGGGTCAAGATACATTGAGCCTTTTCCTGTAAAGAGGAGGATTAATGCAGTAGCTTACATATAAAAGTGATGGCAGAAAAAGACCAAGTGGTCCATAGAGTCTGCCCGTTTTTTTGGCTTTTTTGTGTTTGTTTTTTTTCCGCTATTATCCCTGTGTTTCATGTATTGTTGTTAACACGGACTATTTCTAACCCATTTCTTGATCAGGAACCAGAGGCTCCGGCTCCACTGCTTGTTGAAGGAAATCAAAAATATGAGGTTGAAGCCAAAAAAAGAGGGGGGTCAGACTTAGTTCCTCATTAGATGGAAATGTTACAGCCCAGAGGATAATTCTTGGGAACCTTCCTCTAACGTTCACGCTCCACAGTTGGTGCAAGCTTACCTCCATCTTTATCCTGAAAAATGGACTGTGGTGGGCATCTGGAGACCTAAGGGAATTCCAGTATGGCGACTGGCACATAGATAAGTGCACATCATCGCTCATAGAAATGAGCACAGGTGCATTGCTAATAAGAATGAGCAAAGGCTTGCGCATGCGCACAAGAATGCATGCACACGTGGGCACGTACACGGGAACGTGCCCACAGTTTCTGGAGCCAGACAGGCTATTTAAAGGATGCTCACTTTCAATGCTGTCTGGCTGATCTTCAGCTGTTCCCTGTATTCTGCATTCTTCCAGTATGTTCCCTTTTTACTGACCTGGCTTGCTCCTGACCTGATTTCGGATTCTGCTCTTGACTTAACCTGGCTTGTTCCTGACTTTGGCTCAGCTTATGATTTGGTACCTCGCTGCCAGCCTGTTGATGACCCTGGCTAATCTTGTGACTCTGCTTCTGTATCCGACCTTGGTTTCCCGACCTGTTCGAGTGCCTGCAAGGCTATCTGCTATTGCAACTCTGCACATTTCAGAGTGTTCTGGATACCAGTCTCCTTGGGACCGCAGCTACTGCTGCGGGTTCTCCTATCAACATCTGCTGGCACTTGTGTTCCTCCTGTCCATCAGTACCCTCTGTCTCACTCTCAGCTGAGGCTAGGCTGGAGATACAAGAGAAGCCGACCTCGTCATTTCAGTCTCCTCTCAGGTACGCGACACACCTGCACTTTATAACAATGCACATGTTCTTAGGTTATACATTAGTTATTCCTTCTGTAACTCTTTCTTTTTTCAAACCTTTATTTCATTAGATTACAAACTTCTATAAGCATGTCTTGTATCTCTCCATATTTCTATCCCAGACCCTACATCAAAAGGCCAGCGTTTTTCGCCTACGAGTAATTCCTGTCCCAGCACTGACTACGGAGTAATTTTGAGAGTGACAGCTTACAGCACCATCTCTCCCCACCAGCTGTTGCACCACATAACTCTTTACCATCTCACCCAGCCTGCAGGCTAGGAGAAAGCTGCTGTACACATTGCTAGGCTTCACACACAGTGGTTCCAGGCCGTGGTCCCTAGAACCAGTTCCACTCCTAAGATAAGGGCCTAACAACTCATAAGGGCAAATGACAGCTACCAGTCCACCCCTCTTATGGGACCCCCACCTCTGCCACTACCAATTCCATTCCCAATCCTCCTTCCCGTAATCCAACCCTTTGTTACCCAAAGAGTGTACCCAAAATCAAACTCTCTATTCCCTGAAGAGTTAACTCACACTGTTCCCTGAAGCACGTTGAAATTTACTTCACTTTCCTCTTCACAATGATCCAGGCCAGTGGGTGGAGTTTCATTTCATATGCTCAGGAGCCTGGTGGGAGGATTCTGTGCTCTTGCACATATCATTTCTGGCTTCTTCTTCCCCACACAGGGAAACTACACTTCCCATAAGCACACGGGAAGGGATTAATTTAGTGGGCATGTTGGCGGGCCTTCCTTTGGCAGTTCCCAATCCTCAACAGGAAGATGAGGGAGATCAGGCACCATAGGAGAGGAGTATGTAGGCAAACAGAGGCAGGGAGCTGTGTGACAGGCAGGGACAGACAAAAAGAAAGCGGTGCTGTAATAGGGAAAAATATGCACAATTAATCCAATGCTGCCATGCATCCAACTGCAGCTGTACAACTATAGAGGGACAGTTAGGGGACTATTCACCTCAGAAATAAATGACATCAGATTTCTGCAGGTCCCCATAACAGGAAATACTGTCACGTACCTGACCGGAGACTGCAATAGAGAGAGGGCTCCCCTTACGGCTAAGTGCAGTGCGCCCCTGGAGGTGGAAACAGGAGACGCAGTGCCCAAAGAAGCATGGGTTGCCAGTGGTGTTGCTGCTTGGAAATGTCTGATGAGATGGAACCTGTGGGTGCTCCAGTTGCAGGAGGAGTTTCTCCAGAGGACATGTGGATCCCAGAGGACGGGTAGTGTAGTCAGTAGCCAGAGCCAGGATCAATATGGAACAGCAGATAAGAGCAACGTCAGGATCAAGCCGGGGCCATACAGAGAGTAGCAGCAGACAGGAGCAATGTCAGGATCAAGCCAGGGTCGTACACAGAGTAGCAGCAGACAGGAGCAAGGTCAGAATCAAGCCAGGGTCATACACAGAGTAGCAGCAGGCAGGAACAAGGTCAGGATCAAGCCGGGTTGGTGACAGGAAATCAGCAGGAAACTCAGGAACACAGTAACAGGAGGGGCTGACGATAATCCAGCAATCACTGAGCAGAGCTGCAGTCCTTATAAAGGCCACTGAGTGTCAGCAATTAGTGCACCCTGCATGTGCTGGTGTATTTTCGTGCACAGGAATGCTTTATTATGTGTCGCCCACCTATGCGCATGCGCACTTCTTTATGCGAATTGGCGCATTTGCCCGAGCTTACTCGTCTTTTCCTCTGACAAATACACTGCACACACGCACACAGGAACCTGATACTTGAAAGGAGCAGAACACAAGATGTGTAACACACATGAATGAGAATGGTACATAATTCAGTATTTACTTAAAATAGTATATTTTTCATGGAGTTCAGCTTGAAACATTCCTTCGACTATGTAACTGTTTAGCACTTTGAATTCAGTCTGCTTAAGGCAGCAAGGGCAAAAAAAAATCACAATTATACTATAGATTTTATTTTATGATTTTTGTTTACGTTATCCTTAGTTTAGTTGCATACAAATTAAAGGATAAGTATGGCCAAAACTATTTTGGCCATACTTTTCCTGTAGGTCACATGAGTCCACCTAGTTCTGCACTCCTAAGACCCATATTCATCCTTATTCTTAATTCATTGTATTTAATGCCTCAGCCCTAAGTTTAAGTCTAGGGTAATATAAACTAAGATATATTTATAATGGAGGATCAAAAGAAGAAAAAAGCCAGGAGGAGAGCCCAGTCATTCTTTCTTTTGCTTTAAGCAAACACAACTCTGTAAGCAACCCCAGGCGCCACACAGCAGACTGCATTTTATGAATGGGCTGCAAAATGCAGGGTATGATGGGCATAACCTTGTGGAATATAAACAGTGAGTGAATAGCAATATCTGCTGTTATAAATGAGCCTCTAGGTGATTAGGCAGATAGCTGTTGGCATAAGCTTTCAACTCAAACATTTTTCACATCATGGTGCAGCTCTTGATTTATGAGATCAGATTTCCACAGATACCTCTACTTGTAAACTTATGAGCTTATAGAGTGGGAGGAGAAGTTAATACAGATGTGCTGCTTTTCAAACTCATTTGCCTCTGTCCTCCACAGCAGGCCTTACAAGTATGAAGAAATGTTCAACCCTCAAACAAGCTGAAACTTTATGATCCAACTTATGGATACCTTTCTGCACTCTACATCAAGGTCACATGGGAAGGCAAGATGGTCTTTTTTCATCCACGTTAGTTGAATGTCATTCACTGCTGCAGTGTACTTATATAGCTCAATAACAGGCTGATAACTAGGGCACTGCCGACTCAGCGTACATTTTTGGCAAAATTAGAGGTGTGGGGGGGGGGGGGGGGCTGAGTACAGACTTACTTTAATGTGGATCTGAACAGATGGGGAACATCTAGAATTAATTGTGCCTAAGCAGCAACCTAAAAAATCTACCTTTTGGCTTGAATTCCTCCTACAAATAGCAATGCACTTCTTGGTATGTAAGTGTGCCCAGGCACTCGTGTACCTATAGCCTCATAGCTGTATACCTGCAATCTGAATTCAAATGCAATGCCGCCTCTGACTTCTAGTCTTAAAATAATATTTGGAGTAAGATTTGTTCATGTAACTGTGCTATTTACTGTTCTCCTTGCTGGACTCTTGACATGTGGAAGTGAAGCCCTACCTCTACTAAGATGGCCAACTCCACACAGAGAAACCGTGCAGAACAAGGCACATAAGACAGCAATGGGGAAAAGATAAGTTGCAGAGAGACCACATGCATAACTGGTAACTAGTCTGATACCTGTTTTTTTTTTTTTTTTTTTTTTTTTTTTTTTGGGCCTCAGTTTCCAGTTTAGGGGGATCAGGAAGGAATTTTTTTTTGAGCAGGAGCAAATTGGATCATGATTTGCTGGGTTTTTTTGCCTTCCTCTGGATCAACTCTGGGTATATGATTAGACCTTTTTTCTTTTTTTTATGGTTGAACTGGATGGAATTTTGTCTTTTTTCAGCCAGACTAACTATGTAGTTCTTCTTTCAGACAGTGGTAAATGATTTCACTAAATTCGGTTTGCATTCTATTTTTTTTTTTTTTTTTTTTACAAAATATCATTTGCAACCAGGTTTTTAGCATTTCCATTCTGTATCTTCCTTACCCTGGATATTAGTTCTCCCACCATTCCAGTCCAAGTTCCATTCACCTCTGGAACGCCATAAAGGCCATCAGCAACCAGGCGGATTTTATAGTTAAAATGCAGGATCTTGGACAGTTCCTTGAGCATGTCCACACAGAACCCCTCATAACGTTCATTACCCTCCAGATCATGATGATTTGGTTTAAGCATCAAATATGGGTTTTCCTGTAAATAAAACTAGTTTTGGTTATTGCCATTACCTCAGGAGAATCTTTGAATGCTAATCTATTAATTATTATAATGCAAGTATACAAATCATTTAGATATTAGTTTTAACATATATTTTGAAAATACATGCTGCTACCTCCCAGCCATATGACAAAGACTAATTGTTTCATAGTAAAAATGTAAACAAAGATCATATAAGTGGAGAACCCACTTAAAAGGGGTTTTCTATAAAAGATACTGGGATCCATTCACAAAAGCAGATCGCATATGGTATTTAGGTGTTTTACTGCATGCAATCCTGAAAATGGCAATCCACTATTGCTTTGTGCGGTATTTACCACATAAAGCAAAAACGCTCCTTAAATGCTGCATAAAACAGGAGTTAAAGTCAGTTCACAAAAGGAAATAAATAAATGCATGTGGTAAATAAGTAGTGGTTCAGGCATGCGATAGTTAAGGATCCGTCAGTAGCCAGAGTTCTTAACAACCAGTAAACAACATGGTTGTTAAGGAGTAAGCGGCCACCACTTTCTTAACAGCCAGTGATTCATGTAAAGAAAAGAATTGCCAGCATTTAAAAATTGCTGAAAAAAAACAGCATGGGGTCCCATGCCAAATTAAACTTCCCCCAAAATCCATACCAGACCCTTATCTAAGCATCTAGCCGGCAGGTCAGGAAAGGGGGGGTTTATTGTGATTGACATTGGATCTACACTAGGGGACATTTTTAAATTTTTTAAACATTTTTTTAATGATGACTTGTTGCCTTTTTACTCTTTTTTAGCACTTTTTTGGTGAATGAGTAGGGGTACTATGTACCCCATACTCATTCACATGGGGGAAGGGTGGGATCTGGGGGCGGGATTCAGATATTTATTTCTAAAAATTTTGAAAACCATTTATCATTTTCCTTCCACTTCACAGTTATGTGCCACTTTGTGTTGGTATAGCATATAAAATCCCAATAAAATACATTTACGTTTTTGGTCGTAACATGCCAAAATGTAGAAAATTTCAAGGGGTATGAATACTTTATAAAGGCACTGTAGTACAGCCTGCAAAAGATGAAAAACATTGTGCAGGCTTAGTGGATGTTTGCTATGAGGGGAGTCTCTTTCCAATATGGGGATGTCTCTTTGCTGGATTGAGATGTCTCTTTGCTGAATATATGGGGATGTCTCTTTATTGGATTGGGCTGGCTCTTTGCTGGAATGGGATATCTCTTGATGAATATATGGGGATGTCTCTTTGCTGGATTGGGAAGTCTCTTTGAATATATGGGGCTGTCTTTTTGTTGGATTGGGGTATCTCTTTGCTGGATTGGGCTGTCTCTTTGAAATGGTAGTGCAGTTAGTGTCAGTTGAGGGCCCTGTTCAAAAGAGAAATACTCATAAGAGAAATAAATGGAGAGCATTCTGAGGAAGAGGTACAACCTCGAAACGTGTCAGTCATCAGCTATCCAGAGGTCTACAGTCCCCCACCAGACTACCTTCAGGGGTATTGGACCACACTGCATTTTTTGTGACATGCTTTCCATTTGATTTTATTTCTCTTGTGAGTATGTTACTTTCTATCAATAAATTTTGTTTTTAAAGGTAATGCACTAGGCCCGTGAGCCCTCTTTTTGTCTCTTCATATGCAGTTCTTTTTGGATTTCCCTGGTCTGTTGGCAGCAAGGTTTGCATTCCTTTCATACACATGTGGGGATACTGACATTGTAGCGCAGGAGCTCAGGCATTCGGTTGCTTTTTTCTTCTTGTTCAAAAGAATCTACCTTGTTGTTGTGGCAGGCTTTATATTTTTTGGCCAATATATAATTCCTTACTGTTAACTCTTGAAAGCACTGATGACTTGGAATACATTTTTTATTTTCACATATTAAGTTGTAAGAATGTTAAAATAAAAGTGGGTGTACTGAAGGACAGGGATGGCCAGTGGACGAAATTGGTGGGACAGGCCTTAGGGAATGTTAGTGGTCAGACCCGGTGGGGGCCAGGCCTAAAGCTGTGTAAGGGGCCCCAAAATTTCTGTTGGCTGTCCTGGCAGTAAGGTACTGCTCTGTGAATGGAGCCCACTGAAAGAAAAGTTTTGCATTTGTTATGAATTATTTTCATCATATTTCATACTCTTGAACTAATATGAGCTTGTGAGAAATACTTGAAGTAGTTTTATTCCATCATTATATTTCACCACAAAAATATAACTGTATTAATGCATTTAAAGAATGACTTATCCAACCAATTCCCAAGGCACTTCAATAACTGGAAATGAGCAGACTTACTAGGATCGTAGTGATTATTAATGTCTTGTTAGCCAAACTGTCAGAAATGTTTTGGAAGAAGTATCTTCTGTCCATGGATACACCATTAGTGACATGCCATCGTCCAATCTGGAAAGAAAAAATGATGTAGAAGTATATAATGTAAAGGTAAAAACAAAATAAATAATGTACATTTAAATGTTTGTTTAAATCTGTGAAACATATAGTATGTTATAAGTACATAGTATATTACTAGAAGCCAATGAGTATTTGACCCTCCACCTTCTGGTGTAGCAGCAGGTCACATTAACAAATTACAACCATTTTCCCACTCACCCCCCCCCCCCCCCCCATCCTCCACCTTTCAGAAAGCCTTGTGTGCAAAACCAAGTAATGTGCTAATCCAACAGCTCTACAATGGAATTCACAAAACAAGTAATGAGCATCACTATTTTTTAATGTCCAGTAGTGAGCATGGCCGCTAAAGAGAAATGACACTGGTCTTTAGTATTCCATGTTTTACGTTCATTTGATATATGTGAACTGAGGTTTTCCATGTAATACAGGTACCCCAAATGGTACCTGCTGTTGGTGACAGTAAACACATCATCATGGAGTAGACTTTTAGCAGATAAATTATGTGTAATGTAGATTATATCAAGTATGCTTATTTTGCTTTACTTTTACCTGGTAATCCTGCTTATAACACATTTCCTCTCCCTAGTTGGCAGTGCTGACTCCTCCATTGTATATGTGGAAGAAGGGGGGGGGGAGCCATGGTTGTCTCCCATGCTGCTCTCCTGATTTGGGCTACACACATGGCCCCCTCTAATAATTTCTATTACTTACATGGGGGAGGGAAATTAGTAGGCTAGAGCAGACAGCCTGGAAGACAGATAGTGATGTTTGTGTTTTCTATTAAAGTGGTTGTAAACCTCAGACATGAAATATGCACAAAGCATATCCCTCTATAGTGTGTACTTGTCTCAATCCAGAGCAGTAAGTGTTATTTCTGTCTGCTGTTTCATTTTACTGCTATCAGCAGGAGTAATGTCTGACAAGTTTTCCCGACACCAAGAGAAAAAGGTGACAGGGGAGGGATCTCCAACACACAACTTGTGACTGACAACATCAGCTCTGTTCCTGTGTGTTGTGTGAAGGGAGGTGTGTCCCTTCCCTCCAATCAGCTCTCAGAGCTCTTTTCAATGAGTTTTGCAATGTGTAACCTCAGTAAAAAAATGAAAAAGTCTAAGCTCTGGTAAGTTACAATACATCTGATTTTATTAATGGGTTTAGCTATCCGTTAAAAACATTGAGTATTACACAGTTACAGAGTAACACTAACAGTTTATTGCAATACTAAACTTTATTCCTAAAAAAGTAACCCCTCGGCTTCCCAAAAATTACTAGTTTTATCTCAAGAAATGTAAATATTATAACGTGAGGTGGCCACCAAACCTCTGTACAAAAGAAATAGCACGTGCATAGTGGTGCAGTCCATGTAGTGATAATTAAATGGATAAAGTTCAGGAAAGACAAGGGCAATCCAGTAAGCACTTGGGCAAGCTGTGATGGAGTGAAGTAGACTCTGAAGTAGAAGAATCAAAGAAAAGGACACAGCGCCTCTGAGTGTAGACTGTATAATAATTTTAATAAAAGGTAAGTATTACAACTCACATCTTAGTGTAATAAAACAGGCTCATAGGGATGAAAGCGGTATGTCTATCGCCAGATGTAAAGACTGCTCTGGAGAAGAGGAACCCGGTCGGTCAGCAGGAGGCGCTGCAACAGGTAAGGCATAGATGGTAAGGCCTGACTGGGTATTCCAATATGTCCGGAGCTAGTGGAGTTGGGCATCTGATGCCATCGGGATGCCATGCTTTATCTATTAAACAGTCTAGACTTAGAGGGGCTATGTCCTTTGCTTTTATTTTGGCCACCTAACCTCACCTTTTTATATTCAGTTGAAAATAAATAAGAAAAATCATGTGCTACTATGACTAGATATTACAATATGCTATAGAATTCTCATAGGTGGTACTTTAACAGCTTAGCATGCCAATATACTTGTATGGTTATGTGTTACCTTTTTGGAATCACAAATTGTCCTTTTAAATCCCTTCTTTTTTGAACAATATCTAGAAACCAAACCATGGAGTGACATGTCAGTGTGACTGGAAGACCTAGAAAGCATTTTGTATAAGGAATAAATGTTTTGGTTTTATGGGAATAGGATTTGGGGGGATAAGGTGTAGGTTGTTTTAATTTTTGAGAATTAATAAGGCTGCTGATGGGTACAATCATATTGGATTTAATGGTATTATATCTTTAAGATCTTTAGTGGAATATGTAATTTGATTGATCCGTTGGTATAAGTTCAGGTATCCTTGTATTTCTATGGTTAAGCCCTCAATAGGAAGAATGCATTAGTGAATGGATCCAGGCAGTGGATATGTGTGGATCATCTTACAAATAAATGGATTAAGTTTTTTCTGACATTGGCGTGGTGATTTGCCATACAAATCCTGCTGATTAAAGCCAAGGAATCCTCTTTGTCTACCTTCTATAGGTGTTGTGTTACACTATTTGATTTATTATTATTCCTCTGTGACCATTACTTGTTTATCATTGCTCTGTGTCTTTAACCACTTGAGCTCCTGAGGATTTACCCCCTTAATGACCAGGCCTCTTTTTGCTACTCGGTGCTGCACTAATTCAACTGATAATTGTGTGGTCATGCAATGCTGCTTCCAAACTAAATTTACGTCCTTTTCTTCACACAAATAGAGCTTTCTTTCGGTGGTATTTGATCACCTGTGCGCTTTTTATTTTTCACGCTATAAACAAAAAAAGACCAAAAATTTTGAAGAAAAACAATATTTTTTACTTTCAGCTATAAAAAATATATATAGTAAACTCAAAGTTAGTTATAAATTTAGTCCAAAATGTATTCTGCTACATGTTTTTGGTAAAAAAAATCCCAATAAGTGTATATTGATTGCTTTGTGTGAAGGTTATAGCGTCTACAAACTATGGTATAGATACCGACAATTGCGCAGTCATGCAATACGGTACATAAATTAAATTTACATCCTTTTTTCCCCCAAAAATTGAGCTTTCTTTTGTTTTAAAATGTGGTTTTGCCCAGCCGTGCCACCCTGCCGCCGTATTTCTACAGTGGCTGGGCGGCATGTGGTTAAGCTGTCTCCTTCTGTCTAAGCTGCGCTCTTTCTCTCACCGTACTTGTGTATACTCCTCCCCCCTGCCTCTCTCTGTGATCATTCCACTGTATCCTGTCTTCCTAAATGCATCTTCCATGGGGCTACAACATTAACGTTTTTCTACCTATGAATATTCGCCATTAAATGGAATATTCGAATGGGTTTTCTCATCTGACTTCCTCAACATGTGAGTTTATTCATTGAGTTAAACTATCTCACCCTATGCAAGGGATAAATTCAACACTATGTGGTATAGCTGTATACATTGTTGGAGATAAGGTTTATGGCCTTGTAGTCTGAGTCAGAATAGTAGAAAAATGAAGTTACAGACTAATTACAAGATTCCTGGGAGACAGTACTGATAAAGACAAGATTTATTGTTCTCATTGCAAAGCAAGAAGACAGCACCTGTAAGCCTCCATAACTAGCTCAGGCCGTCAGCATTCCCGCTTGTTATCTCTCAGTCATTATCTGCTTGTGTCAACATGAGTTATAAGGGCTCCGTCTGTGAAGAGATGTCACACACAGCAGACAAAACACAAGTCTCTGATCCAGCTGTGTTACCCAAATGCTCAGTTAAACCAACTTGGAAAATGATGGAAAATGATGAAACTTCAAGAACTGAAATAACTACTAGCCTGAGGTTATTATGGGAAAAGATTGTTACTCAATCTAACACACTGTCTGTTGAACATGGGGTACGGCCACTAGAGGGTGCCATCCAACAACTTTCTGCCTCATGGAAGCTTTATCAGTTTACCAGCAGTAAATTCAGTAATCTTTTAAAGAGCATGCACAAGGAAGATTCATTAGAGGAATTAAACAGCTTCCAGGTTCTTAATCTAGAAAGAGACAGTTTTATCCAGCAAACCAAATTAAAGGCAGAAGCAAAGATAAAGCTGCTACAAGAAACTACATCTCACAGATCCGTTTCTACAAGACATTCTAAAAGGTCCTCTAAATCTCATAGTTCAAGATGCTCTACACTCAGTGAGTGAATTGTTAGTGACTGTGCTGAAGTGGAAGCCAGTAAGGTGCAGACTGCATATGCAAAAAAAAAAAAAGAGAGCAGAGTTAGCACCTCAGATGGCAGAGCTGGAAATTCAGTCAGCACGCCAAAGAGCAGAGCTGGAAACTCAGTCAGCACGCCAAAAAGCAGCGATAGAAATCTTAAAAAAACAGTGTAAGCATGATACAGCTATAGCAAAACTAAGGGTCCTAGAATAAGCTATCAGTGCAGACGGATGTGCAAGTGAGAGACAGCATTAACCTAAACATAGCGGATATGGAAGATCCCCTCAAACGCACTACAGACTATGTTATAAGCCACTGCAGTGGACACTCTATTGTCTCCAATGCTCCTGACAACATAGAGACTTCTTTTCAGCATCAAGTTAAAGAGGTTTCAGCAACTTCCTGCATGCAAAATCACCTCAACACCTTTCCTGCCTATCTAGCTAACTTTCCTTCATACGTCACTGAGCATCAGAACAAGCTGCAAGCAAGTCATCAATCTCCTGTCATCAGAACAGCCTCAAACAAACATACCAATGGAGCAACTGACTTCAAGCAAGAAACTCGCCTGAATGCATCTGATGCACCATATTTCCCTGTGTCTTATAACAGCGATGTCAAAGATCAGCACCGTTCAGCCAACAACATCTTGCATAAAGTCGGAGACAACTGAGACAGCAGAGTTTGTGAAATACATACTTTGCAGAGAGCTCACAAAAACTGGTCTTACCAGTTTTGATGACCAACCTAAAAACTGCAGAAGTTGGAAATGTTCTTTCAGAACTGCAACCAATGATCTTGGTATTACAGCTGCTGAAGAATTGGATCTGCTGATCAGATGGCTTGGTCCTCTATCTGCTGCATGTGTTAAGCCATTAAGATCAGTTTTCATGG